TTAAACATCGAAGACACGACCATCCCTCAAAACCTCAACGAGAAGGCCCACCAAACCGTGCGAGAACTAACCTACCACGGCTCGGAAAGCGACGGCCTGGCCCTCGCACCGACCACAGAAGGGGGGACGACTCCGGTGGAGGTGATGGGGATGATGGAGGTGATGACAATAATGAATATGCGATGCAAGACGACAAAGACAAACTGGTCACGTATCATGACATATTGACACATTGTAAGCGACAACGAGAAGAATATTCGCCACCACACAAACAGCTAGACAGATCTCAAGAAACAGATTGGCGAAGATCGCAAACCAGAACCTCTTCAAATCCAGTACACCTGAACAGAGTAAATTCCAGACAATACCCACAAACAAGCTGTACCCTCTGTAAGCACGAACACGCAGGTATGGCACATATTCTATGGCAATGCACACAGGTCACAGTAATATACCGAGAGGACAATATAAAACCGTACCTTCTCGAGGAGCGTTGGCTAAGTGCGCTGACTAGCTCAGATCTGCACGACCAACTGTGGGCAATCCAGCGGGCCCGGACAATGGTGGAAAGGCTACGCCTCACCGCACAAAACGTCGGGGTGGCCTGAGCCCGGACCGGTAACCCTGCAGGGTTTCTTTCTTTTTTTTAATAAAGCTTTTTCTGTCCGTCCGTCCGTTCGTCTGGGCACCACGCATGCGGTAGCTGCATGTTTAGCTGGGCCGGCCACGACAAGAGTGCACGCCACGGTGGCACCATGGAGGTCGACAGTGGAGCGGGGGGCAATCACATCAGCACGCGCACGCTGGCAGACGACGGGGTGACATTCCATCATTGCAGGCGTAATTTACAGCTGGCGCTGCCACAGAACACGGCTGGACAGCATGGGAAATGTGCGTGAGCTTACATCGCCTAACCGTTTTCGCACGAGCCTACTTTTGCTGCCAGGATTCCACTGGACGCCGAAGGCGGTACGAAAAAAACCATAATCTTTGTCGAGTTTGTACAGAAGCAATGCAGCACAACCGCCTGGAGAACAAATGCGCACCCACTGGACACGTAGCGCGTCGCAAGTGTCTCTCATTGTTTGATTTTCTGTTGTTTGCTATCTTATTACGCGTACTAACAGGATGCTGGAAATTGTCTGCTAAATGACGTCGCTCGCATACAGCGCTGCTGTAGCAGAATAGAGTTTGGTGGTTCACACGTTCGGCTGGCACATAGCGACGAGTGAAACACGGGCGGTGTTTGACGTAACTTCCTTTCTACCGTCACGGTGCCAGTGCACCTCAACAGAAGATTTTATATGCTGTTGCACTGTCAATTATCCCACGACGAACATCCACCAACTTGCCCAAATTCGCGACACATCATTGGTGCATGGCCACGCTTGCTAGTGTTCAAGGCGCTCGCTTTCGAACCACAGGGACCTGGGTTCAAACCTCAGCCCCGAAAGGAATGTTTGTTTTGATTGACATATTATTTCTTTAGTGCGCACGTGCCAGTTGTTGAAGAGGATAGTGTCTTAGAACACCACTAGCCACGCAATGTAAGCTTCACTTTAGCAATGTAGGACCCGTGTGCTCAGATTTGGGTGCACGTTAAAGAACCCCAGGTAGGTCTAAATTTCCGGAGCCCTCCACTACGGCGTCTCTCATAATCATATAGTGGTTTTGGGACGTTAAACCCCACATATCAATCAATCAATCAATCATTCACTTTAGCAAGCTTCTTTGTTACTTCTCAAGAGAGTAAAAATCTGAAATTCCTGCTGTATATCCAAAATATGTGCTGTAGTCAATGTGGACAAAGGAGGAAGTGTGCCCTTCGCTGGTTTTGTACCTAGTCTTTCTTTGTCTCTCAACTGGCTCTGTGTATAACAAACTTACCAAATAGCGACATTTACTGTCTGCATTGTGCTCTACCAGTGACAGTTGGTGTATATAAGAATGCGCCTATCACAGCTGTTTTCTTTGTAAAGAGCTACATGCCGCTACCTAATGTCAATCATTGGGATAATGAAGGCACTACTGTAATGTTGCAAACCTGGGATTTTCTCAATATGCGTCCGAATTGAGTCGCATCAGTGGGAGAGGAGCAGAGGTTACAAGCGAAGAATGATATGCTTAATTAGTTAATTCATAAAGGACCTCATATTATCTATTGTTCCATGTGTTCTGAAGTTTACTTTTGCTTACATTCCTGTTTAAGCTTCACACTCTCATTTTTTTGCAGATAACTCAACAATTGCACAGGTCAATGGAAGGACGACTAACATCAAAAGAGTGAAGAAAACTATTACAGCAGAACACTTTATTGCTTGGTCTTTTAAAGAACAACACTACTGACTGTAAAGCAGTGAAATTTTTTTGTACGGACATTTTTTTTTTTTCATTTTTGATCAGCTGTTTTGAAGCGATCTGTGGTTGTTGTGGCAGGGAAAAGAATATTCTCACGAATCTTTATGCATTGCCCTGAGATGACTGGCAGTCAAAATCTATTTTTTTTCTTTTCAATCGGCTGTATCGATCTAGCTGCAACAGCTTCAGGCACAATGCTGTTGAAGCAATGCAAGCAGTTCGCTCAGGAACATTTGCGACTCAATGCATCTTGGGACTGGCTTTCATATTTGTAAATGCTTGCTCGAGCTGAGCACAGACCCTGTACGTGAGGTGTCACGACAGGCTTCTGATAAATGATCAGAAAGCGAAAACACTGAAATGCTAAGGGTTGTGGAACGATAAACTGATTACCCATTAACAGTGTTTGTTTCTAAGGCACAAAACGCCTTCGTGTATTGCTCAGCCTAGAAAAGAAAGAGATATAATAAGAGTAAAAAACATTAAACGATTTGTTGGTGGAAACACATTGTAAAAAGTCTCTCTGGCCTTTGCAATGTTTTTCTTGTATGCTTTGGAGTATAGGCATGTATACGATGTAACCAATGAAACTGTGTGGTTGCAAAAATGGTATACTGGTGTATGGCAGCTCTAATTGTGCTAAAAGGACAGAGGAGGTGACCTGTTAACGCTTTATGGCGTAAGATTTCTGCACCGCTCTTTAAAGGGACACTAAAGTCAACTAATAAGTCGACGTTGATTGTTGAAATGGCGGTCCAGAAACCTCGTAGTGTTACTTTTGTGCCAAGGAAGGGCATATTTTGAAATAAAATCTCGTTTTAGTGGTCCACATCAGGTTAGCGCGCTTCAAATTACTCGCCTGAAGAAGCGGACCGGCTGATCCGTCTCTCGTCACTGTTGCCGTACACAACGTTGCCCGGCTTTACTTCGCTAGTAGCAGCATACCGAAAGGAGTGGGAGCCACAGCAGCAAAAACGTCCATTGATCAATTTCCCTCCATTGGCTCTGAGATTGCTGACGCTTTTGTTTCAACTGCGCCCTGCTAGATGGCACCACTTGTCCTATGTAACCATGTGAAATTTGAATTTTTGAACCACTCGCGCCATTCCCCATAGTAACGTCCGGTGGTTCTTCTTTCCATGAATCAAACAGAAACGAACAAGCAGCATTTTATTGCGTCTCTTGATGCATGGAAAGCTCTTTATTTAGTGCAGTTAGATCAATTACTATTAAAGTCCGCCTGATGTCATCGGGATCATTTTGAAAATGTCCTACTGCGGCGCTTGTGTTCTTGTGGATTTACCTTGATTTCTTGGTAAGTAGGGCACTGTTGTTGATAATATTGTCCTTTTAGGTGTTATACGTTGAACTTTCACTCTGACGTAAGGTGTTATTTGACTTTAGTGTCCCTTTAATGTGATCAACGCCAGATGATCACGTCCTTATTGTGGATTGGCTTGAGAGTTTTATTAGAGCATGTATAAACAAGTGGCTTCTATTGCAGGTGTTGTGTCTATGAACATCAATATTATGGACACAGACTTCTTATATTTTTTTTTGCATCAGATGCAATTTTTTTGTTTTTTGTTTGTAAATGTTTGAAAATAATTCATGGCAACAAGAACTCACTAGATGTATTTAATACAACCATTCACCGAGTGCCACTCACCTCTCTGTTTCATGTTTGTCTTCCTTCTGGGTCACAGAGCAGGCATTGAATTTTTTCAATCACATCTATAGCTCAGCTTTTTGGCGGCAAAGTTAACATGGATACGTTTGTCTGTAAACATAAGCTCTATCAGTGTTCTTCATGGTTGCCTTTGCTTAATGTTAGTCGAGCTTAATTTCACCTTTAGAATTCCCCATTGAGTGAAATAATCCTGACACACCTGTGCAGACATATATCTGCTAATTGGCCTTGTAAGTGCATCCCCACCGATCTTTCTCATTTGCATACTTTATTACAGGTCATAAGCATTGTGCTTGTGTCATGTTTAGGTGCGAGCTTCTACTATAATCCTATCCTTTCCCCCATGATCTTCTGCATTGAGTATCTTACTGTGCCTTGCACTATCTTTGTGTCCTTGCCTTCCCTTTCACCTAAAACAAAGTGGCTTGTTGTGCGAGTTGGTTCCGCATAATAGCAACATTTAGCACTAAAAGCAGGGATGAAGGAGGAACCTCACAAACACAACGTAAACTATCAACTATTAAAAGGAATCTGTGTGACAAATTGAGTAAGCATTTTTTTATCAGCAGATCTAGCAAGACATGCATAGCAAGGCCTTCTACCATGCTGCATCCTCTGAAATGCATTTCTTGAGCACCAGCCACTAAACCTAATCTTGTTTGCTAACATTTGTATTGTGTTCATGTGACTATTCGCACGACTTATATGTGAATGTTTTTCAATAAAACTCAGTTGTTAGTTGGTGCTGTGTTAGTGAAGTTCCTTTTTAGTTCCTGTTTTTTTTTTGTCCTAAATTCTACTGTGATGTCACCTTCACTCCGTCATTTCCTGAGAATGCTGCAACTTCACTCTTGCAGAGTTGCTTCCCATCCCTCGCCGCCATGGCCAACTACATCGGTGTCTCGTGTGTGGCTACACCACACCTTACAACCAGCGCATGCAGTATCACCAGAGGACACATACAGATGAACGGCCGTACAAGTGCAATCAGTGCAACAAGGCCTTCAGGCAACTGGGCCACCTGAATGACCATGTTCGCATCCACACCGGCGAGAGACCTTTCGAGTGCCACCTCTGTCCCATGAACTTTAGCAGAAAGAACAGACTCGTGAACCACTTGGCAACTCACCGTAGCAAGACTAGTTGATTTTTTCTGACAGTGTTTTGCCCCTATGCTGAACGAAACAGTGAAGCCCTTCAAGGTACCCTTCTGAAATAGTGAAGTCTGCAAAGGTGAGTGATGTGTACAACTCAACGAAGCACGAGGCAGTGGGCTGTGGTGACAGACATTTGGACTGGACTCTTTCACATGCCATAAGCAAAATGTGTGAATTAACCAATAATACTAGCAACAGAAAGGATGAATCTGCTACCAAAAATGTACTGAGAGGATGCCAGCCTTCTTGGAGCTTGTAATAAAGACTCTTGACACAAAGAAAATTGTGAGCCATTCCACTACATAAAACCAGTAACGCTGCTTAGCACATGGCACAGCATTTCCTTCATACTCCATTGCACATCCTGCAACTAATTTCAAAATGTCTGTCTAGAAAGCCCTTCTTGAGTTTAGTGCAGGCTGTTTTAAAGTTTTTATTTGGGCAGCGTGGTGCTTGCATATTTCTGCTACATGATTCAATTTGCTATGTTCCTAGTTTTCTGTAGCTTGTATCATGCATTTTGTGCGTGATCTCAATTGGTGTTTTCTGCCCATATGATCCCTTCATTGAGTGATGCAGTTTGCCCAGTTTGCGGGGCACGTGAGGCTTTTTTTTTTTCTTTGACACACTATAAAAAATACTCGGGACTTTAGTTAATGCACCTTCGCTGTAGTAAGGCTATGCGTGGCTCAATGTGTGGTATGTGCGAATGGTTATGTTTTTGTATGTTAAACTTTTCTGGAATGAAACAATTTGTGAGGTATTGCTTTAGTTATGTGCAAGATTGTCGCACTACAGGCTCCTTACTTTAAAGGGGCCCCAAAACACTTCTCTAAGTAATCATCAAATGGCTTCATTGAAGGAGCCTATTGCATCACGAATCAACTGCCGCAAAAAATTTTTAGAATTGCAACAGAGACATGTTCAGCACTTTCCCTCTCCTGTAATACCGGTGTGTGCACTGGATATGCAAAGGAGGGTGGGGGAAGGTGACAAGGGAGAAGGTACCTACGTCCGTTCTTTAGTGCACATCGTGACCACGAGAAGCTCTCTTTCTTTTTTAAAATGCAAGGCTTACTTTCAGTGTGATTGCGAACAAGCGTGCGGGCACATTTGGCATCTCGCGAGACTGTAATAACTATACAGCTCAAGATGCTCAAAACAGCCAATGGTCGTGGGTTTTGCATTTACGGGCTTGGTCACTTGGTTTAAAAGGATCGTTTGTCGATAGAAGAGCAAGCGATTTCTAGGTGACTATTAATTCTGAATTCCAGGCCATGCACTGCACTCTAATGTTGAAGGGGTGGTGACACGAAATTTCGAGGGTATCCCAAGCCTGTTGTCGATTCGCTCTGTTCGCAAAGGCTCTCCACACAAAGAGTCGGACACAACAAACACGTAGAATATATTTTAATTCATTTCTAAAAGTGTAGCTGATTGCTCACTCTTGTGATCTAGGCAAATCGCTTGCGCAGCAACACTGACGTTTCAGAATAGGAGAAGCAACGGCACTTGGCGTGGTGTCACACCAGATTTGTAGTGACGTGAGTGACCTCCTCGTTCTCTGAAACGCATTTTGGTAACAAGGAGAGAACTAGCATGCCTGCTATTACGAGTGTGCTGGCGTCCCTTGCAGAGACACTCTGTGCGTCTGTCAATGACTCAGTGCTTTCAAAAAGACACTGAACGCGTCGTTCAGAGACGCTGTGTGCGTCCAACAGCGGGGCTGTCTCATCCTCCATCAGCATCTCGGCGCCTATAAAAGGCTGGCGCATCGAAGTGTCAGGCGGCTTCCTCATCCACGTTCTGTACATGCGTTGTAAACATAAACGCTTTGTTTTCTTCTTGCTGCTTTTTGCCTTGCCACTGCCTCGATGCTATAGCAACTGGCCATGGCGATTATCAGCGCGTTTGTTTTGCTGGTGCTTGGTGTGGCACGTGGTATGAGAGCAGAGGAAACTCAACGCGATGTGCGTCACAGCCTTGTGTGCTCACGTGACCAAGCCACCTATGCATCGACGTTACTGCCTGATTCGGCACTGTGAAACCGAAACCAAAAATGGTCCACATAAGTTGAGCAATATCAAATTATTTAGCGAAAATACACGAATCTTGGTGTGTGTATCATGCTTCCTGGAGCCGAAAGAAACCCTTACAGCAAAGAACACGCATGCCACAAGTTTGGTGGCACCGCCTCTTTAAGCTCGCACGTTTTCAGGATCCGCGATTACTGACAGGCAGCATTTTCTGACTAAACAGAAAAACTTTTCTGAGCTCTTTAAAACTAGGTTTATGTCATTCCGTATGTATACCTTCTTGCGAATCACTTGCTCTGAGACTCGTCACCAATTGTTTTTCTGCTTTCCTAAAGCAATGAGATCAGCTATGTTTTGCCCCGAATGCTGACACATAGTGTACTTTGGTTGTGAACACATGGTTGTGAGTAAAATGTTGGTACATATATGTACCCGCATTTTATGTACAGTATTTACTCGAACATAAGCTGGCGCCGGTTGTTAGCCAGACTCTCTGGAGTGCAAAGCCAAGAAAAAAAAAAAAAGAAACCTCGAATGTAGGATATGTAGGGAAAAAAAAAGGCTTTCGAAACAACGAAACTCGGACAGCATTCAATATCAAACCAGGATATATTGAGCCACTGAGTGGGTAGTGAAACAGATCAATTACAAAATATAATAATAATCTTAACTGAAGCTCATTAAAAAAGATTCGTGTATCTCTAAATCTCTTGGTCCAGAAAAACTGTTATTTATCAATTGGTGTCTGAAGGGCCACGTTCTATGTCTAAAATATAAATTAGCAATTTTTTTATTCACGCCTTCTTATGGAAAGCAAACGCCTTCAGTGTTCATGAAAGAACACTGACAGCAAACTCTCCGACTGGTGTGCTTCACGGCACGCCAATTCTGTGCGCTACTGTCTATTATTCTTCACTGCACGACATAAAAACACAACTGTCGAGAATGCATCATGGTTTTGCACTATCCAGTAGTATGGGTACCAACTATCTGCGAAGTGAAATTCGCACCCTTTCACGTGTGCAGAAGCTACGAAAGAGAAACAAATTAATGTAATCGTATGTAAGGAATAATGCCCGTTGCGCAAAGTGAAAGTTGTTTCTTTAAGTGGGCAAAATGAATATGCTGGCCCTCTTGCCCAGCCTTGCACTATCACATGATGGCATTCGCAAGGAACATTTCGTAACTGGGTCACTGTAAGCATGCCCAGTGTTCCTCTTCAAGTGGGGTGAAGGTTTGTTGCAGCACCCCCCTCAATACTATGTCAATGTATGGGGCCGACTTATGCCCCCTCTTTTTCAGGTGACCTGGGGGAGCCCCCCCACCCCTTGATTTTTGTATGCTTTACATTTCAAGTGTCGCTCGCTTGGAAAACGTATACGTGCTATAACCCCTGCATGGAAACATTTGTGTGTGGCTGTTGCGACAGTCTTGACTAATAAACACTGGGTCATATACCAGTGGTGGATTATTGTTTTATTTCACTGCACAGTAATATCCATACATCATTAAAATCCAAGGGGAACAATATCTAAGCAATTATCATCTAGTGTGTACAGCAAAATACATTATGTACACAAAAGCACCATGTAAAACGGTGCACGTAAAGGGCAGAAAGGCGATGCCAAAACTGCGTTTGTGGCAGTAGCATTTTCTCAGTTTAAGGTAGTCGAATTTCTGCTCAGGCAACAATAGTCATCTTCATATGTGCACTGCCAGTTTATGCAGCTCATGCTGGGAAATGCTGGCGTTGAGTTGGTTGCCAGTGTACGAATTTATCATTAGTATTTTTTGCAATCTATAGATCTTTTATGCCATGGCAAAAAATTAGAGCGAGACATGCATTAGAATTGAATAAGAAACAATTTGTTAGGTGCTGTCATAAAAAAAACATTAAGGCACCTTCGAACTGGTGGTGCCAAGCCTCGAGGAAGTGCATAGATAAGTGGCCTTCTTTGTTTTTCTCTTCTTGCTTTGTTTCCTTCTTTTCTCTCTTTTCTACAGTCTTTTTTGTCTGTATATTTCTATTCCTCTCTCTGTATAAATTCCTTTCTCTTTCTTTCTCTTATTTCTCTATTACTTGCTTCCCCCTCCCCCCCTTTTTTGTGATCTCTTTCTGTCTATATCTTTCTCTCTTTGATTCTTTATATTGGCTGAATGATTCCATATTACTAGCACACACACTCAAGGACTACAGAGAAAGAAGCAGGACAACTGCTACTAGTGTCTGGTGGAATCGTGAAATTGCTCTGGTTCGGAGAGAACTCCCATGCTGTAACAGTTCTTGTTTTGAAAGAAGTGTCAGAAAACAACAGGGTAAAGCTTATATTTCAGTTTGAAGCGTTTTGTGGCTTTGCTCAAAGGATACATTCCAACACTCGGATAATTTGCACATCTGCAGTTGATTTAAGCCCCGCTAATCATTGATTGCACTTTCAGGCATTTATTTCCTTTTCCAAGGCTCAGAAAAGCGAGACTGGCTTATGTATTTTACGGATGGTTGAAGATATGCCTTTTTTTTGCACATTAAGCTTTTCCAGTAGTTCAAGCAAATAAGAATAAGAAATTCTGTCTGCTGTGCATTAAAATGGTGTGCATTAGACACTGTGGACAAGGAGGACACACTGCACCATGTGTCTTGTGCAGTTAATTGTTCATGCCATCCAATGTCAATTTCTATGCCCACTACCAGCTCTTGTAAATTGCTAGTTTCACTGCACACAATGTCTTTTTCCTATCAGAGGCAGTGCATATAAGAATTTTACAAATTGCAGCTACTTATTTTGTTAAGGATTTAGAATTTTCTTTTTTTTGTTTAATATTAATAATTGTGGGATGTTGAAGTAAAACAGAATTCGCAGGAAAACGGAGGCTTTAGGTGATGAAAAACAGTTGAGCATAGAATGTTCAGTAAGTGAACTTTTCGACAAGGGGATCTGTTTTCCGCAGAGCAACAGCTTGCCTTCCTTAGCAGCGTGCTAACATTATATTGTTAAAGAGCTCATGTTGCAAGAATTTAAGTTTAGGCATTGCTGTCAGCGTCTGCGGGTGTGAGCGATACGATGGTTTTGTTTATAAATCTAAAATCATCATTCATGCAAAGAATAAATATCACGGGTTCAGGCCGAAATGAGACCCAGGTATTCTGCGTGGCAGGCGGGCGTTCTACCACACAGTCACACTAGTTTTTGGAATCGGCATAGAAAAGACCCTACACGAGCACCATGTAGGGCAAGAAGTTGTATTAACAGATGCATTAATGTGTGGTAAAAGCGTAGGATCACAGCAGGCGTCATACAATGTGAATCGTGCAATGACTGAGTTGCTTAAAGTTCTAGCCATACAAAGCACTCAGTCGTAATTAGTTATCATTTGCAGCAACGACAAGGTGGGCAGCTGTGTAGGTGCGCATGTTGCGTTACGGATGGCCAGTCGGTGCTTTGCAACTGTAGCTGCATCTAGTATTCAAGGAGGGCTTAAAACTACCAATATTATGCATATTAGGGCCCGAGAACTCTACTGTGTTCTATTCATGAAGGTGAAGCTTGGAGAGACATTGAAGAAAGAAAAAACAATTTTGCGCATATTATTGAGATAAAACTTTACTACACTAAAACTCCCCTCTCCTACCATGAGGAGACTCTTGGTAAGCAATGCTTAGTCTACATGCCATAAGAAAATGGAGGTTGTGATGCCACCTTGATGCTTTCACAATGTCTCACCGTAACGTGATGCTTTTGACGGGGTCTTCTAGGCTCTAGGTAATCACTGTAAATTATTTACATTGTGTTCCAATGGTCTGAGGTCTTCTCACAACAAGCTTCAGAACATTTCACTGAACCAATGAGGCCACAATATGCAAGAACAGTGAAATTTGACGCATGCTGAAAGCGCAAAATTCAAACATGCGATATGACCTTGATTTTTTTCTCAAATAATTACCCTATAAGGGGAAAACATGGGTCAAGAATTTTTTTGTGAGTTCTTTATGAAATCATACAAAGCTTGCCAAGTTTGTGTATATTTTGTACAGATTTCAAATGTGCAATTATTTTTGTTGTATATTAAGTAGTTTATAAGATATCAAACACTTCATGTGCTTTTTGGGAGCCATAGTTCTCCTAGCTTCAGAGAGTTTACAAAGTAATTAGGCACATCAAAATGACTCCGAATCAGTACAAAGTACAAGAGGAGAAGAATGGATGCTCGAAGTCCTTATGATTTACCAGAATTGAATCACACAGTTGTCTTTTTTATTTTCAGCTTATAGACATAAAGCCACCATGGATTGTTTGGCAGTTGGTAGAGAGGCAGACACAAAGTGTAATGATATACTTGACACGTTAATGCACAGAGTAAATTTAAGATTGATGATTGAATGTGCTTCAGATTTCTGTTGCAGTTTTCTTTGGTTTAAGTAATAGTTAAAACTTTGTGCTCTAATTCTTTGCAGATGGCAGATGACCCAGCTATTGCATAGGCCAGAGGAAGAGGACAGCATGAGAGCAGCAAAATCATTGAATTCTTAAAAGTGCCTTAGACATTGGTGTTTTAATGACGAGCGCTACTAGTAAAGAACACTACTGACTTTATAAAACAATGCAGCTTTTTCTGTGGGCTTGTTGAATTTTTTTTTACTTCTGGGCCCAAATTAGCACTTAAAATTGGTCTCTGAATTAGATATTTTGGAGGCGGAAAAAAGAAAAAGGGTTTAATGTCCTTGGCAACATTGGAAGGAAGAACCACGAGAGTGAGCATTGCCGTGTTGCAGCCCTTTACAAACTTTCTTGTATTTGCATGGCTTGTGACCTCTTGGAAGGTCATATCAGGGCATTGAAAAAGGAGAGTCACAATGTTTAAACTTGTGAAACATGCAATTAGTTCACGCTATTGAAGTGCTGCTCCTTCTGATAGGGTGTGACGAATCGCCATAAAATTTTGTTGACATGCGAATGGTATATTGGTGTGTCCTGTACCGCATATTGTAGCACCTTATGTTGTGTGCATTTTTCCCATTTTTTTTGTTGTTGTTGAAAGTTTGCAAATACGACAAGTGTTGGTGTTGCATCTCTGCCTATTTGAATGTGGTGTCCCATGCTTTACGAAAAACATTCTAGTGCTCCTGCTGTGGTCAAAGTTTTCTTTTGTTATATTTTTTTGATAATGTAGAAGAAGAAAACAACAAGCACTCGTTACAGAACTAGAAACTCTATGCCTGAACAATTTTCCATTCGGGCCATAATGGTGTGCCTTGTCTAGTTTTATCCTGGTTATTAACAGTGGGGCTATTTAAAAAAACAAACAGCGATTGTCCCAGCAGTAGCTCAACCTGGTCATGTCTAGTCCTACAGATGCTTTTGGAACATTAAACCTCATTGATTATTATTAGTTCGACGTAGGCAGCTTGTCAATTTTTAGTCACTCGTGGTGCAAACTTTTTATTCGCTGTATTGCATAATTGTTATTCAGGCAACGAGTGCTCAATGAGAATGATTTACGCGAACATGCTGTAATCGTTTTATGAATACCACAAGCTCTCCGTCCTACATTTGGCTTCGCTCTGATGCACGGAGCAGGCATGCATGTTGTCGATCGCACGCAACTTGGACAGACTGCCAACATCCTTTCTGGTTGCCTTCTCTATGGTGTTAGTCTTGCTGTATGACGCCTTTGGAGTTGCTCCCATTGATAGAAATCAATCTGGAACACTTGTTCGAAAATTCATAAGCAAAATGCAGTCCAAGTACATCACCACTGTTCTTTCTTGCATGTCCCTTGTGTTACAGGTCATTAGCATTATACACTGTCCCCTTCATAATTGCATTAACCTTCAGGTTTCACTGCATAAAGTATACTCCCTTATGAGCTATGAATAAATTGAGCTCCACCCACATTCATCACAGTCTCTCCTGCAGAGAATTCTCATAAATGCTCCGTTCAACAGTGATTACTCATTTTTGTGACGTCAAGCACTTCCCAAATGTTTATGAGTATTGACATTCCTCTACAAATGCACCTTTTTGTCGCTGGTTTTCGATCGGATACTCTAAAATCTAGCAAATTTCTTACGAGATTCTGGCACCGCTTCTCAGCCAAACGCAGGGTTTCAGGTTGTGATGACGAGCCGTTTGCTCGTTACATTGTGAAGTTTTTACGTTCTTCGAGAAGTATTTGCAGTTGGAGCGAAAAACAGCTTGCACAACCATATTTCCCACGTGAAATATGGCTGCACTGCGGTTGTGCGGGTAGAGCCGGAATTTTTTCGTAGGTTCTAACCGAGTTTAGTAAGATGTACCATTCACTGACTTCATCCGTTTCCTTTTAATTTCACTCTGTCTCTTTCTAAAAACGTTGCTGTTTTACCTGTGCAGAGTTGGTTGCTGTGCATCGCCGTCCTGACCAACCGCATGATGGGGACCCTCACCAGGGGAAGAATGTGAAACGTTGTCCCGTGTGTGGCTATACCACAACTACCATCCAGCACATGCAGTATCACCAACGAATTCACACAGGCGAGCGCCCATTCAAGTGCAACTACTGCAACAAGGCCTTCAAGCAAAAATGTCATCTCAGCCGGCACCTCCTCATCCACACCGGCGAGAGACCTTTCCATTGCTATCTCTGTCCCAAGGATTTTCGAAGAAAAAACAACCTTTTACGCCACTTGGCAAAACACAGTTAATTTGGACACCAGAAGGTGTTGGCACCTGTGCTAGAAGAATAGCACTGTTTGTTGGGGCAAGTGATATGTATAACTTATGATGTATCATGAGTTGATCGGCCATAGAGGTTAGTGGCAAGACTTGAACAAGGCAAGGGACAAATATGATATAATAAAACACACTTGAAAGGGTGCAAATCTTTTTTGAGCCTATGAACACTTGAAACATGCAACTATCCATGCATATAGCATGGGGCATTCTTAAGCTTTATTGAATTAGGTAACTTGTGGAATACTGTATGCATAGGATTTCTTTACTTGAGTTGTCTTCAGCTTAGGTTTTATCTTAAAACCCAATACACATTGCTCTTCGTGTGTGCCTTCTTTTTGGGAATCGCTAGCTTTATTGTTTGGATTTGAAAGCCTGTTATTTGTTCCATGAAGCAGTGAGTTTACTTATTACTTGCTAATGTGTTGACGGATGTTGTTTTTCAGTTGGTTTTTTTTTTTGCTTATTGTGCAGTCAAGTAGGTTGCACTATATTTAATATGAAATATCCCGCCTAATCTCCCCAATATGGGTGCACCTTTGCAGCCATTTAACTTAGTTGTTGTCAAAAGAGCTACTGCGATAATGAAAGTAAGAGGGCAGTATGCAATGAATTGAAAATATGACACCCCATATGTCCATGCCAGGTACAGTCCACCTCTATGTTGTGACTGAAGCACAGCTGGATTTTACTCGACGATATTTATAGCGTGAGAACAGAACGAGTCGTGTCCTTCATAACCTTCTTGTCTCTGTGTCGTCGTTGTTCTCGCTCTATAAATATCGCTATGTCATACCAACTAGCCCAAGCTGCCACATTTCTAAGTTGGATTTTACTGTTAGAACGTGCAACCTCATTTCTCTTCCATAACCAAGCCAAAGTGGCTGCTTGGGCATGTTTGCATGACATCTAGGGAAAAAGAAAGAAAAAACAGTGCAAAATTATTGCTCCTTCCTTCTTTCACTTAGGACTGTGCAAATATATGATGTGCAATGTTCACGGCTAAACTTTGTTGTAAGTCAGCACCATTTTTTGTGTCCCCCCTTATGCTCTATCCTTAGCACTGTTTTGTTTATGAGGTGCCATAACCATGCCATAAAGATTGGCTGATGTAGCACTTGTTTCTCTACATATTGTTGCCATATCATGTGTTTGGCTGAATTATTGTATTATCAGTACTGCTTATATGTTGCAGTAAAAATGTTTTGGTACCATGCATTGTTTCATCGCATTATTATGATGATAACCAGCCATTATAAGTGGCTAGTACACTATTGTAATGCACAATATGTGTGTGTTTGGTGTCTTAGCTTTCCTTAATGCTCACATTGTACGTGCGTGCACAAAGTATGTCGTGTTATTATTTATTTATTTGTAAATACTGCCAATCCCAAAGGGATCATAGCAGGAGGGCATATACAATAGTTGAATACAACATAACACAAATTGTGATACAATGGAAACACCAACTAATTATAAAAAAGTGCAACACAAGAGCGATTAGTGGCACAATAATATAAAGAAAACAGGCTCGCATAATAAAACCGTAGGCAAGGGAAGAAAAAAAAGGAGAAAAAGAGAAAAAGAAAAGCATTGTGAGACTATGGTGTAAGCATTTTTATACAGTGGTGCTTTAGAGCGAGGCGACAAATGCATACTGTGGGGTTTCTGGTATTTAAAAAAAGTAAGAGAGACAATGCATGAAGAACTGTGACAGGTGTAGTTTCATACATCAATAGGAGGGGGAAAACGACAAAACAACAAAAAAAAAGACCTGTCTGACAGGGCTCAAAGGTACGCTTTCAAGCGCAGTTAAGAACTGTGTTAGTGATGTGCTTTCTATGATATGTAAGGGAAGGTTATTCCATTCTCTTATGGTCAATGGAAAAAATGAATTTTTGAAACAGTCGGTATGGAAGGTGTATTCAGTGAGCATCTGCGTATGGTTATGTCTGGTAGGGCGTGTTTGTAAGCTTGTTATGAAGTTTGTGGCATCAATATTTACTTTGTTATGAACTATTAAGTACATAAATTTCAATCTAGCTATTCTGGCTCGGCGCTGAAGAGTATCTATACCAGCAGTTTCCATTAACACTGTAGGTGATTCGTGTGGCCCATACTTGTTAAAAATGAACCGTATTGCCTTTCTTTGAACACCTTCAAGTTTAGCGATGTCTTGTTTAGTAAAAGGAAACCATACTATGTTTCCGTATTCTAGTATCGGTCGGACAAATGTATTATAAGCCAACAGTTTGGTATCTATGGGGGCTAAACGGAGGCGGCGTCTGATGAAAAAGAGTCGTTTGAGCGCGGTCGCTGTTATGTGGCTTATGTGACTACTCCATCTAAGGTCCTCAGTTATTGTTAATCCCAAGTATTTATGTTCAGTAATGGCGCTTAATTCCGTGTCATTAATTTTATACGGGAATAATGATTTATTCCTTTTTCTCGACATTATGAGTAGGGTTGATTTTTTTTGCATTTAATGTAATTTGCCAATCGGAGCACCATTTCATTACTGTTTGTAAAGCGCGGTCAAGGGCTACATGATCTTCATGCGTGTTGATTATATTATAGATAATGCAGTCATCTGCGAACAGTCTGATGTTTACATGTATATTAGCGGGTAGGTCGTTGATGAATATTAGAAAAAGAACCGGAGCCAAAACACAACCCTGTGGTACACCGGATATCACTTGGGCAGTATCAGACGACTGGCCGTCGATTTCAACAAACTGTAAACGATCTCTTAAATAATCAGTTATCCAATTAATTAGATGAAGTGCACCTCGACTGTATTTTTTTACTGTGAAGTTCTTTAAGCTCAGAGAATTCCCATTAGTCACGAACGGAAATTATCATCATTATGAACTGAACTTGCTCTGTTCGTCCTCTTTATCTTCTGCTTCTTTACCAGAACACATGTGCCGATTTAGTTGGAGTGGAATGCTTTAACTCTGAAGGGTGATAAAATGAGTACAGCGAAAGAAAAATAAATACAGAATGACCTGGCGAGGGAGGATACGGACCCGCGTAGCCAGGATTTGAAGGCAAGCATCTCAACCACTAGGCTGTTTCGGCACGCTAGCTGAACACAGCACAGTCTTGGGAGACGATTTAGACTCCAACCAAAAGTTTTGAAGAAACCCGACGTTTCTACAAAAAGCGCAGGGCAGTCGCCGAACATGCTGAGATGAATCACCGGATAAATTTTGTAGCGACAGCCATCCTTGAAAGCGGGCCGAACTGGAGGAGAAGGTTATTACTCGAGTCGTGGCACATACAGAGGACAGCCCATAACATCAACCGCTCTCTCGGAACCCTTCCCCAGTGTATACACATGGACTGCGCTCCACAGGCAAAACGAAAACGAGAGAGTAGGGGGCTCATTATCCGACCCGCGAGTGCTCTGAAGACGCTGCTGCTACGTAGCCCCGCAGTCACCCCTGAGAAAGGAACCAAGTCGGTTTCGAAACGTTGGGTTTCTTCAAAACTTTTGATTGGATTCTAAATCATCTTTCAGTTTCATACCCAACCAGACAGACTTCTGTCGAATGTTTACATTCAAGTCAAACAGCACAGTCTTGCATAGCAGAAGCATAGCTAGCGGGTGGGAAAGCGAAACGAGGGTGAGGAGAGGCCCGTTCATCTGGTGCGGAATTCAATAACTCAAATGGGCAACAGAACAAGCACAGAAAGGAAGAGAAAGTTAGAAAGACAAATAAAAAAAATGTTAAGTGAGAAGAAACAAAAGTAAGACAGAAAAAAGAAATACAAAAAGGCAGAAAGATAGGAAGATAGAGACAAAAAAAAAGATAAAAACGAGAGCCCTACACAAAGAGAAAAATGAAAGGGAGGAATAAAGTGTGAAAGATAGGAAGAGCAAGAGAGAGATAGAAGTAAATAGACCGAGAGAATCAAGTAGAAATAACTTCGACAATTAACAGATAGAAAAAAATAAGACAAAAATAAAGAGTATTAGAGAAAAAAAGATAAGGAAGCTCCACTTTTTCTTACAATTTGGTATTAGTAGTGCCTTCGTTTTTTTTTTTTCTTGGCTGCCAGGTTGCTTTGAGAACTGCATGTGGCAACTTAGAGATTGTGTAGGTTAAAGAGAATTCTCAAGGTCAAATTTTTTTATGAAGTTTGCTCTACAATTCCGCACATTAGGGGTTTACTGTGTCGTAATTCCGGTATATTATTGAAGCAAGGCAGTGCGAGCTGCTGAAAGTGTCATGTGGCGTTACAAAACGCTGCAGTACACTCGTGCTGGTACTTCGCGATATATAGATAAAAAAAGTCAATGTTTGTTGGCTGCTTCTTTCTTTTTTTAGTGTCTTGATGGTTGGAGCACTACACATCTGAAGAAATAAGCACTAATTAATTGATGATGCATGCTCATTGTCATCTCGTGCTTTCAGCAGACCAGAGTTGATTATTCAACAATACTAGATGGTTTATCAGTGTTCAAACTCTGTTTATGCTTGATCAGACATTTATTCTTTGCAGATGGATCTACCATTCTATAGGCCAGCAAGAGGATGGTAGCACCTAAGGAACCGGAAGACAAGAATTATATTAGAACAATTGAGACATTGATGTATTACTTAAAGGGTCACTCACCAGGCCCCATACCAAATTTTAGTTAGACCGTGTAAGTTGTTGGGTGTCCAATTAGGAACATTTTCCCACAAAATTTTGTTGAATCGGTTCATTGTGAGCTGACAAAAGTGTTTGAGAAAACGAGGATAAGAGGAGGTGAGCTCTAAACCCTTGCCACTCCTCCATGTAGCCTTCGCAAGCCAAATCTCTTCCCTACCCTGTCCGGCATCCGACCAAGAGGTGACGTGCACATGACATGCTCGAACAAGCCCAACCTCCGTGCACGCGAGCAGCATCTTTTTTTCTTTGTTGTTGTTGTTGACCAGTGTTGTTTTGAGGTCTACTGCCTGTTACTGCAGGATGGTTTGGAAACACTGGCTTAGACGCAGTAGAATAGAGGAGCACAATGAGTGCGTGAACGCGTAGGAGCGTTCCACGGCTGTCGTCTGCTCGATGCGCTGACAGTGGAACTGTGGGGACACAAATGCATGAGAAATGCCGGCAAATTCACGGTGAAAAAAATGAAAAAAAAAAGCCCACATTTCCTTGTTGCGTCTCATAATTTATTTGAAGATTTATTAATCTCTTAAAGCAACAAATACATACACTACGCATCTCATGTTAAATAATTTTCGCCATGTCACGTGCCACTGTTGGCAACGTCAGAGCATAGTCGTCTACGTAGAGGACCAACGTCGCTGCACTGCTATGTACTTGGGGCCATTCATACGCGCATGTCATGCCCTCATTCTTGGCGCACTCCCGCAAAAAGAAGGGGGAGCAGCGCTCATCTTTAAATTTGACCCATTTCCCGTGGCGCGTAACGTCGCAAATTTTGGTAGACTGGATCGTGAACGCCTCATCTATGCATTGCGCTTGTCAGCTCAATATTGTCAAACCTGGTGAGTGGCCCTTTAACAACTTTACTGGCTGTAAAGCATTGCAGTTCCTTATAAGGGCTTCTTTTCCGTTTTTCCGAAGTGCTGAACTTGGCTGTGCTTTTAGTTATGAAGGCCACACACAGGGGTGAGGAAAATAACGTTGAGAATGTGTCGAAATACTGGTACCCAGAACGTTGAGACAAAACTACCATATTCAGCTTCTCGGAAAACCTTCTGGTAATATATTGTTTATGGCTCGCTGAAAAATCATGTGAGGAAAAGAGCGATCACATTGAAATTGTTAAACATAAAATTTGTTCACCTACGTTAATGCTTTCTCTCAGTCTATGAATAGCTCTGAAACTTTGTTGGTTTAGGAAATGCAGCACGATTTGGTAATACATTTATGTCATGTTCTATGTACTCTACTTTCCATGAAGGATAGACATTTACCTGATCTTTTTTTTTTCTTATTGACCCGGGTCTATTGCGACCTAAAAATGTTTCTCTGGTACAGGTAAATGCAGTGTATAAAATGCTATATAAATATTAGAGGGATTAAAATGTGCTGTTGTGGTACAGGGCATAAATAAGTTCACTTTTGGTATGTCTGTGCTTCTGTCTGCTTATTAGAACCTGGTGCACCTTACTTTACTGATTTATTAACCTTCCTGTGAATCTGAAGTGGACTCTTCTTTCTCTCTATATCTTGATTATGTACGTACAAAAGCGAAACTGATTAGGCATGGCTCACAACACTAGCAACTGTTTGTCATAGTCGATGAAAAAATGGTGATGTGTGTCCTCTTCTTGTGTCTCTGTTCATTCTGTGCTATGTTTTCGTCGACATTTTTTACCAACAGGCCCAAATTTCAACCGTACTTTGTCATAAACAAGTGCTAGGTCATGCTGTGTGTTCTGTACATTGTCCTGCATTGTGTTTATCCAAACATAAACTTTGCCCACTTGTGCTCCTGCTTGGTCACATTTAGCTTATGGACACAAGTTGTCTTATTCAGCCAAGCTTGATCTGCCAACATTATTCCCCGTACTCTTTAAATTCAAGCAATAAGTGTCGATTGAGATTGATATAGATAGATCTGCTACATATGTTGTATGAGTAGCAATCAATCATTCATTCGATATTTGTGTTGGGAGATGATTTAGACTCCAACCAAAAGTTTGAAGAAAGCCGACGTTTCGAAACCAACTTGGTTCCATCCTCAGGGGTGACTGCGGGACTACGTAGCAGTGGCGTCTTCAAAGCACTCGCGGGGTGGATAATGCCACCCCCCCTCTCTCTCTCATTTTGCCGTGGAGCGCAGTTCATGTGTATGCACCGGGGAAGGGTTCGGAGAGAGTGGTTTATGTTATGGGCTGTCCTCTGTATGTGCCACGACTCCGGCGATCCAACTGGAGATCCAACCGGATTTATTTGGTGATCCAACGTCTCAGTATGTTCGGCGACTGCGCTGCACTCTTTGTAGAGCTTCTGCACGTTCTTGGCGTGTGGGGGAGTAGGCCTCAGATGGTAGGCCTAAGACGTTGGATCACTGGATAAATTTCGAAGCAACGGCCATCCTTGAAAGCGAGTCGAACTGGCGGAGAAGGTTATTACTCGAGTCGTGGCACATGCAGAGGACAGCCCACAACATCAACCATTCTCTCAGAACCCTTCCCCCAGTGTATACACATGGACTGCGCTCCACGGCAAAACAAGAAAGAGGACGATCATTATCCGCTCCGCGAATGCTTTGAAGACGCCGCTTCTACGTAGTCCCGCAGTCACCCCTGAGGAAGAAACCAAGTCTGTTTCGAAACGTCGAGTTTCTTCAAAACTTTTGGTTGGAGTCTAAATCATCTCCCAGTTTCATACCCAACTAGACAGACTTCTGTCAAATGTTTACACTCGATGTTTGTCTTGCCTCTTAGTCGCAGAGAAGGCATAGGTGTTGTTAATCACTAATGCTAGGTACACAGCAAAGATAAGCTGTCCCAACATCTCCTGTAGATATGTCATTGCTGTGTTGTAAGCCGTGCTGAAGGGCACATTTACCCCATTTACAGAAATTATTCTGGCAAACCCGTTCGAACATTCATAAGTAAAGACTTGTTCTTGTACATCACAGTGAAATGAATTAGCCATGATAGGAACTGTGCTTATCCCTTGTAATTGCGCCTATCATCTGCCTATCACCGTGTTTATCACCCGCACTTATCACCTCTGTCTCGTTTTTATGTGCGAGCTCCTTGGTTATACCATCCCTCTCCATATTTCGCTGCCTTGAGTAAAACATCAACGTAGCATAGAGTAGTGAGACAGACCTCGTACTATCTTCGTGTTTTTTCCTACAACTTCACCCTCTCTTTTGCTGAGGACATGGCGTTTTTGCTTGTGCAGAGCTGGTTGCTGTGTGGCCTCCCAGGCCGACCACATTGTCGAGGCCCTCACGAGGAAAGATACCCGAGGCACGGGGTTTTGCACTTGGCTTCACCAGAGCCTGCGACCGGTTCTCGGAGAGTACGCCCACAGGCAAGCGCCCACATCAGTGCCACCACTGCAGCAAGGCCTTCAGGCATATGAGTCACCTGACCAGGCACATTCGTATCCACACCGGCGAGAGACCTTTCGAGTGCCACATTTGTGCCATGAGATTTAATCAGAAGAACAGCCTTACGCGCCACTTGGAAACCCACACTGGCAGGAACACTTAATTCTGCCTGGTGTTGTTTGTGCGTGCACGGAACGTAATGGCAGTGCCAAAAAAATCGAGTAATGTGTGCACTTCATGTTGCAGCATAAGGTGGCAGGCTAGAGGAGCTAAGACTGACTAGGTGCACGTGTTGTATTGATGTGTGTAATTAGGCCACCAAACTCACAACTTTAGTGACTGAAGTTGCCAGATGCTTCTGGACTAACAAGCAAATAATTAGTAAAAAAAAAAACCCAGAAAGAGGCGCGACTTTTAGGAAAAAACCCAAAAGCAGCAGCAGTTTAAAAATTTCTTATTCTTGCAAATATTATTTATGTTAATGAAAAAGGCACTGAAATATGAATTGGATGTGAAAAAAATACAAATTTTCTTGTTGAACTGCAATAATATCTGCCGTCATAAATGGAAGCACTTATGTATTTACTTTTTGGCTCATTGTTCAGGATTACCTTCATTGTGTTCTTGTACATTGCCAGCGTACAGTGTGTGAATAACTTTGCTGCTTGACTCCCTAACGTTTGTTGGATTTCAACGCTCAACCACAGAATGTCATCAGCAAATGTGCTGTTAGTGAATGACATATCAGTAAGCGGGAGGACGGAAATAGCTGTATTTGCAGAAAGAAAACAGGTAGGCCTAAAGAACGTGATGGAGTACTGGAGACTTCTACGAGCGACTTGGTCAAAAAAAAAAAAGAAGCCCTAGCCTGTTTATCATAAGCTGAATTGACAAATTGGGTACTGATGAATGTGCTACCAGTGAAAGTGCAAACAGGATGCAGGGCTTTTTGGGATCTATCATGGCTGATGAAAGTAATGGCTATAAGCATATTGCTACGAGCACTCTCAAACTGATTTGCAGGATTGCGTCACTGTTGCCCCACAGGTATTGTTTTAAAGTCCGACTGATTTCATTCTTCATGTATATCTTGTTCCTGAGAATTACTAGTTTTATGACTACGTGTGAGAGCCCCCCATGCCCAGTTGTCTTATAGCAGATCCGTCTTTGGGGTCCACTCTGTGTTTTCATTGTCATCATGTATTGTCATTACAGTGGTAGTAGTAAATAGCAGTAATAGTAGCCATAGTAATATTAGCCGAAATCACGCGGGTTACATAACCAGAGGGGGGAGTAAATGAAAAAATAGCATAAATAAAATAATGATACGATACTAAAAGGGGTTAATGATGGAGCCTAGAAACGATTGTGATGATTATGATAATCATGATGGTGGGGATGATGCTCAATCACACAGGTGCGCTTATAACTTCAATGTCTTACGGTTTTCACGGCCTGGAAAACGGCTGCTTTTTTTATGTGATCTTTTTCATAAGTCAGTGAGCTTATTTATGATTCGCTTCAAGTGTAGGCGCACGTTGCTTTGCTAGTCGGTGTTCCCGGTGTGTGAGAGTAGCTCACAGAATGTTTTAGGATGAAATTTCTCATCTTTTCTTTTTCTGCTTCACTTCAAAAGCACCTTAGCAACATGTTTACTGAGATGCTGTCAAAAGACCTGTTCTTATATTAAAAGCAGAAATGACGTGTTCCATGATGTGTGAGTACGGCACACCATTTGCCATTGTCCGTGCCGTGAACATTCCAGGCTTGTATTGTGTTGGCAGCACAGTTTCAATTCACTACATTGGATATGTGCAGCCTTGTTTCACACCCCTAGTCAATCAAGCCCTTGAAATTTGAGAGAGAGGTAACTATGAGTTATAGAGCAGTTGTTTCTCTATGTAATGTTACCATGATCATCTGTTATGTTGACATTTCTGTATTCTCAATGCTGCATATGTGGTGCAGTAAAAATGTTTTGGGGCCAATTCGTTGTGTCATTGCATTGTTCCATTGATAAGAGGCCATTACAAGAGGCCAGTACAGAAATGGGGTCGCCAATGTTTTGCTTGTTGGCTGGTGTTTTCATGCCTTTTAGTATGCGCACTGTATGTATGCACAAAATGTACGTTTTGCGGTACCAGAATGAAGCCCACCTCAATCACACTTTTCTGTGATTGACCGATTGCTTTGATAATCAAATGTGAACATTTAGATGCTGTCTAAGTCAACTGAATTCTTGGGGACAAAGTCATAACGTAGTGGGTGCCGCAGATTGTAACGTTTCCGGCCGCAGTATCACAATTCTCGTACGCTATCTGCATAAAGCATCACCAGTTATTACCAGTGTCACCTCTGTAGATCAAGGATGTGCACTCATGCTGTTTCCTTACGACATATTGCAGGCAAAAGATATTAATGTTTCTGGCTGCATCTTTCATTTTTTTTTTTTTTTAGCGTCACCGTAGTTAGAGCGCCACAACCATTGCCTGAATTAAAAAGTGCACGCGCGACATCTTCTAGTACTTTCGGTAAACCGTCAGCAGCGGTCATTTAATCCTTGGTGGTTCATCAGTTGTGAATTGGTATTCGACACTTTCAAGCTGTTACGATTCAAGCCATGTGTAACGATTTGTACTTTAAAAAAGCAGGTATCAACGCAGATTATCACCTGTATGTCAAGTTGAAAAATTTTTTTTTGCCATGCCCACGGGATAGACGCTACACTGAGCTTTATTCAGTTGTGCTTTACTTAGGGCCCACCAGTACTTCGCCCTTAATAATTTCTGTTTTACACTTTTATTTTTCCTAGATGTGCAACCTCAGGATTGGCAAATGTGTAATATGTGGTGAAGCATAAGCTTTTTTTTTTCTATGAAATCTGCTTTCTTAATACTTTATGGTAGTAAGAAAGGTAAATATTGTCTACTGTGTATCGAAAATATGTACACCAGATGACGCGTACAAAAAAGTTAGACCTACTGTTTCATGTGGCCAGTATTCCTGTGTTCCTGTCGAGTGGGGGAAATTTCCTTAATGCGTAACCAACTCTTCCGAACTGCAAAATTCACAATGCAAGACTCTTATACCCTGTGTGCGAAAATATGGCATATTGCAGCCATTTCTTTCGTAGAGACCTATTAATTACCACTGCTGTTCAATATGAATGACTACATTATCAAAGGTGTTACTAGAACATTACCAACCTGGAATATTTTCAGGATGCTTCTAAATTGAATTCCCAAGGTGTTTTTATATTACAGCCTTTTATCACGCAAGTCATAGGCTGCTGAAAACAGCATAATGCTTAGGGGAGTGCGGATACAGTTCAGAAAGGAACAAATTGCAATAATAGCAAAAGTTGGGCTAGTTGGTGATTCATACTTGGGAAGTAAAAACAGCGCAAAAATATTGACAAGGACAGAGGAAGAGAGGACACCGCGCTGATGTCGTCTCTTCCTCTGACCTTGTCAATATTTTTGAGCTGTTTTTACTTCCCAAGCTAGAAAGGAGCACTAGGGCAGAAAGGACCCTCACTTTTTGGGCAGTGTCTGTTGCCAATGCCCCTGCACATAAGTCTTGTTGGCGTGAAACTTTTTCGAATAAACTCGGTTGCAAGTAAGCATCCTTTCTGTCCTGTGTTCTTTTCTTAACCTAATTCGTGCTCCCCTAAGCAAGATGCCGAACTGGCCTAAGAACTAACCATCAAGAATGGCAGCCAATAAAGAGCTAGTAAACAACTCTGCAATTTGAAATGTGTGACGGAGCGATAATTATGCACTTGTGAGATCTTAACATGCTGCCTCAAGAATTTTGAACTTTCTAGGTGCTGTAATAAGAAGGAGATGGGGTATGGAACAACCCACTTCGGCTGATTTCGAGTTCCCACTCTGTCTTCCCACTCGTCTCGGCAGCCAACAGGGAAAGGCGTAGCCCTCTGTCGTGTTTACTCCCACTTCGGCAATGTAACTAAACGTCAGCGATTACCCAACTAGGCTCCTTCCGAAGCATGTTGCTGGTGACAGAGCAGCATTAGGGTCAACCTAGTGCCACGATGAGAATAAACGCACGAAAGCTCATCACTGCAGGGCTGTGGCAGGCCATTTCGTAATGCATAGAACCAATCGACGAAGACTTTGCAAGGCGATGGTCGTGGGTTATAAATTACAGGGGGTTTATTTAAAAACACGGTTTACATCACTGAGAGTGGTAAAGTTTCATGCGGACCACGTGCACTGTCTCAGGCAGATGCGGGCGACATTTCGAACAGGAGGAGGCGTCGGGCACGACTTCATATGTCACGTCGCTAAGACGGCGCAAAACCTTGTAGGGTCCGAAGTATCGGCGTAGGAGTTTCTCTGAGAGGCCTCTTCGTCGTACAGGAAACCAAACCCAGACTCTATCTCCTGGTTGATAAATGACGAATCGATGGCGAAGGTTGTATTGTTGGGCGTCAAGTTGCTGCTGGTTCATTATTCTGACGCGGGCAAGCTGCCTTGCTTCCTCGGCGCGCTCTGTGAAGTCTGCGGCGTCTGTCTCTGAATCATTGCAATCGTAAGGCAGCATGGCGTCAAGCATTGTCGTAACTTCTCTAGCATGAATTAGTGCGAACGGCGTCATTTTTGTTGTTTCCTGGCGCGCCGTATTATATGCGAATGTGATGTACGGCAATATTCGGTCCCAATTCTTGTGTTCCACGTCGATGTACATGCAAAGCATGTCAGCGATTGTCCTGTTAAGTCGTTCTGTAAGCCCATTCGTTTGTGGGTGGTAAGCTGTCATCTTTCTATGCGCTGTGCCACTGAGCGTAAGCACTATGCGCAAAAGCTCGGCTGTAAACGCGGTGCCTTTGTCTGTTATGACGACAGCTGGAGCACCATGTCTCAGGACAATGTTCTTAATGAAGAACTGGGCTGCTTCAGCTGCAGTGCCACTCGCGATTGCCTTGGTCTCCGCGTATCGGGTGAGGTAGTCCGTCGCCACTATAACCCATTTGTTGCCGCTGTCCGATGTTGGGAATGGGCCTAGCAGATCCATTCCGATTTGAGAAAACGGGGTTTCTGGCACGGGCACAGGATGTAATAGACCAGCGGGTTTGACAGGTGGTACCTTGTGCCGCTGACAGTCAATGCATGTTCGGACGTAATTTTTAACCTCTGCTGCGATT